TGTGCTCGATAGCGCGAAGCCTAGGGCCGAGGCAACGGCAAGGGGCAGACGCCAGGCAATGGTCGAGGGCCCGAGTCGGGCGGTGCCGTAGCACATAAAGAAACCGAGAACGAGACCAGTGACGATGAGGAACTGGGGCAGCGCCGTCATGACGCCGCGCCTTCGTGCCGGGGCCATCTCGGAGACCTGGACGTAGACGTTGCTGAGAAAGAGACCCTCGCCGACACCCTTGACGAGGCGGCCGAAAATGAAAAGGCCGAGGACAGGGGCAGCACACTCCAGGGCAGCACCGACGGCGTAGATGAGAGCACCGAGGGAGAAGAGGCGGACGTGGCCGAAGCGATCGGCGAGAACACCGGCGACAAGGGCCGTCAGGGCTCCGGGAATGAGCACCGATGAGACGATGACACCGTGCATGGTCGGCGACACATGGCCAAATGTGGCTTCGAACGACGGCATCGTCGTGACGGGACCAATGCTGCCAGTGTCGAGGCTATTGTTGTCAGCAGCCGGCGAGCACTTGCTTCAAAGGAAGGCTCACCCGAAGAGCATGGCAACACAGGATGAGATGAGGCTCGCCCTTACATAGAGCGGTGGCATGGCGAGCTTCATGGTGTTGGCTTGTTGCGGACGTTTCGCCTTGTGATGGTTTGTGAGAGTATTTGGCGTAATGAAAGTGTTTTCGTGGTTCAAACCTTATGAAAGAACAGCAACAGCGGCCAAAAAGTCAGACGCAGCCTCTGTCAACTGATCGGCGCATCGTCACTTTTCTCCCACCCGGCGTCTCTGAGGTTTTGCCGATGACCGCTTGGCGGGTTCCACGGTTCCACCAAAGCCTCGAGGGTTACTCCATATGCATGCACTAGGCTTATCGCGCCTGGGGACATGTCGTCTGACTCGTCAACGTGGCGAGTATTGGTTGCGTAACGCCATGCGGGTGAGATGTTAGATATGCGTGTAAGACGCGGTGGAGAGGCAAGGAAGGATTACATCGAGTCCCTGTTTCATTATACTGCTGACTGGGTTTTCATTATATCAAACGTGAGGGATATGTTCTGGATCTGTCCATCACTAGTTCGACCCTTATGTCATGAACTGCCACTTACTTATTCACCTCACTGTGAACTTCATGATTCTCGTTCTTTTCGGATGTCATTCTCCTCGCTTGGCTGAGCTCTTCCTGCCTCCGAGCCAGAGCAGCCTGTCTGACATTCGATTCTCGTCCGTCTCTGACCTCTTCTCCGTCCAGATCGACCCCTCCACCGTGTCCAGGCGCGTCGCACGTGCCGAACCGGGTCAGCGCCGAGTTACCAACCATGCAGTTACAAGATTGGGGTTTACATGACGCCTCAGATGTGGCCTGCTGCTGTCGAGGGTTTTCATACTGACTAAGACCTATCTGCCGACCAGGGGCTCCAGCCTCTTCACTGATGCTCCATGGGTTCATCTGAGGGTACGTCTGTCGATTTGCAGCCGAAGGCGGCGGCACGAAGAGTGACCTTGGAGGTTCGCTATTCCTATACGCCATCAAGCCATCGCGGGAGTCGCCGCCCTGTGTGTAGTTGCGATCTCGACGCCTCGTGAAGAGTTTCGTGCTGAGCGCTGGTTCATCGTATCCGTCGTTAACATTTTCGGGGTTCGAACGACTGTCCTCCCTTGGGCGGTGCGTCTGGGGAGTGTCTGTTGGCGGGTCGGATGCTGGTAATTTACCGCGTTGCTTCTCGGAAAGTTTCTTCTGGCTGAAGAGCCTGTAATGGCCGAAACCCATCTTGGTTGAACACGGTCGATGGTTTAAGAGCCGGAAAGAGACGATCGACGAGGCTGTCCGAGCTTTTGGTGGGATGAATGATGCTTCTCGATCTCTTAAGGACGAGGAGGTTTCTTTTTGTTGCTGGCAATTGCGGTCCTCAAGTTTTCGGAGATACGTTGTCGAAGAAAAGCCTATTGTTTATTTGGGACGCCGCAGCACAATGAGTAACAGTCACATCTCGAAGGGTTTCATAAACCTTGAGGGCATGGGTCAACCCAAAGTAAACGCTGCAATTGTCTATGGTGCTCATGATGATGCCTTGATTCCGAAAATCTGCAATAAGATGTCAGCACATAGTAGCAGCACGCCCGGAGGAAGTGGCTCTTACCTGGTTCAGCGCCGTGTCGTCCATCGTCGCCATCCTCTTCGACGCGATCCATCGCGATCGCACAGCGTGATGCCCCCTAAGCACCGGCGTCGACGTTCCCGAAGCCGGCGTCGCTATGCCCGAAGCAGACCTTGATGCGCTCGCCTTGGCTTCCTCGGCCTTCTTGAGCTCCTTCTTGCGCCTCTTCTTCTCCTTCTTGGCCGCCTTGTCAGCATCTGAGTCCGAGTCGTCCGCTGCCGCGGCGACCGCCTTCTTCTCTTTCTTTTCCTTCTTCTCCTGCTTGCGCTTCCTCCTGGCTTCCTTGTCCTCTGCCGCTGAGCTGTCCGTCTCGGTCTTGATCTTGGTTTTGTCCTTCTTCGACTTTTTCTTCGACGAGCCTTCCTCGGTGTCGTCCTGGGTATCATTGGGCGTCGATTTGGCCGACTTGGACTTTTCCTTCTTGGCTGCCTTGCGCTCCTCCTTGCGGCGCTTCTTCTTGGCCTTCTCATCTTCGCTCGACGAGTCCGACTCGGACGATGACACCTCGTCGGCCTTGCGCTTCTTCGACACGTCCTTGAGGCTCACCTCGGGGACATTCTCCACCTTGACGTCCTTGTCTTTGTCCTCCTCCTCCTCCTTCGTATCATCCATCGACTGCTTCTCCTGGTCGCCGACGAGCCAGCCGCCCCGCACGAAGCGCATGGGGCCAAACTTGCTGTCGCAGTACAGCGACGACGCGACGGCCAGCTTGGCCTGCTGCTCCTTCTGGATCTCCACATCCGACTTGCCGTTGAGGCGCGACAGCATGGCCTGGAAGGCGTCCATGCCGGTCGACCGCTCTTCGCGCGCCTGCTTGAAGCCGAGACCGAGCATGTCGTCCTTGAGCGAGACGCGGACGAACGAGGCGTTGGCGGCCGTGTAGTGCTCGGCCTGCGCGGCGTCCTTGGCGCCGAGGTATTGGCCGGGCTCCCAGCCCTGGGAGCGCAGGATCTTCTGGCCAAAGGTCGATGTGTCCTTGGCCCATGATGTGTTGTTCGGGTCCTTGTCGATTTTTCGGCGGCTGTCCTGTTAGCTGGGCTGCAGAGGGAGGGGGGAAAGACTGGTGGCCGGTGGCTGGTGGACGAGAGGGACGCACAATTTGACTTCGGCGAGACCCATGGTGGCGATGGGCGGCAATTGCCTGAAATGACTGGTCTAAGGAGGACGACGAAAGACAGAGCGCTCGCTGGCGGACGAAATGCAAGATGCTGAGGTACTGCGATGCTGGATGTGATAAGAAAATCGAGTGGCCGTTATCGTGAAAATTTTGGTGGGGTCCAATGTGGTCCGTGGGTCGGCCTCGTGCATCCGAGGAATGGCCGGTGTGCTGACCTGCTCACCGCTCTCCAAACCCGTTCACCGACCTGGGATTCACCGAGACTACCAGGCTCACCAGGGGCTCATCAACATGGCAATGCTCTATGGGTTGGCAGCACCAAGCCGTATCTGCAGTGACATTTTGTTCGATTTGCTGGATGTCTTATGTTCCTGATTTGCATGTTCCAAGAGAGCCTGGCAAAATGGCGGCCGTGTATGCGAATGTTCGCATCTTTCCTCAGATCCCATCATATACGAGGCGTCAGGCACCTGATAATGGGTTCCTTCCTATGCTGAGCCTCAGCCTAGTTGAAATGCCTTGTCCCTCCAATCGAGAGTCTCGATTGCACTTCCCTCTTGCCTCCGGTGTCATGACCGGCCATCTTCCACCTCCGCTTCGTCCCAAAGAACCTCCGAAGACCTGATATCGCCCTCATATCGAAATAGGAGACCACGATAATCACTTAGAGGACCCAGATTCAACCTATCACGATGTCTGCCACCGACTCCGGCAACCTCAGTCCTCCCGATCCGAAGCGCCGGCGCACCCGGAAGCCCGCCAAGCACAACGTCAAGATGGAGGACGACTTCGCCGAGCCCTACAACATGGATATGGAAAGCGGCAGGAAGCGTCTCGAGGAGGTCAAGCAGCCCCGTTCTCCCAACTTGCTCATCACCCACTGACCCTCACCAGATCAATGCCAAGTTCACAGCCGCCCGTGACCGCCTCCTAGCCGACTACGAGGCCGAGCAGCGCGACCTCTCGAATACGCTCCTCAAGGCCCTCGAGAAGCAGATGAGCATACAGTAACGCCCCCCCTCTTGCCCCTTTGCGTGCATCTGTGCTCTGATGAATTGCTGCACGCCTGGCGCCTTCCGTCCCTCGTGTGCGCGGGCAGCTGACGCCAGTAGGGCCAACACGGACAGGCACTCGATCCACGTCCTCGCCGAGGCGGCGCAGGACCGGCTCGACGCCGAGGAGCGCATCCAGGCGCACGTCGACGGCGCCCAGGCGCGCTTCGAGCGCCTTGAGACGCTGCTGCGCGTGGTCGTCCAGGGACGCATCGAGGAAGCCGAGGCCGCGCTGCTCGAGGCCGGCGGTCTTGTCAAGGCGGAGGGTCTCGGCGTCAAGCGCGAGTAGGCGGGCCGGATCGTCGTCGTCTTGCTTTTGGGGGTTTCGAGTGGTTCCTGTACGAGTGGTTCAGTACGAGTGGTTCAGTACGAGTGGTTCAGTACGAGTGGTTCAGTACAGTGGTTCAGTACGAGTCTGTTGGTCTCCTGTTGAGTCGTGGCGTGAACTTGTGAGAGTCTTCCGCGATGTCCCCGTCGTCCCGGCACGTCGTGGCGTTGAGTCGAGTCGAGTCAATCATAGCACCCGCGTGAAATATGAAGAAAAGGGAGTCGCGATTCCAACGCCGTCTATGCCACCAGTGATATGGCTACACTAATCGTCCCACGCCCGCCCATGTTGTTGTACACCAGCGCATCCCACGCCTTCCGTCTCTCCTCCAGCCTGTGGTCTGTGCCTCAGACCTCGAATCCGAACCCCTTCATGCACAGCTTGTACGCGTCAATCGTCGGCGCGCACGCCTTGGCCGGGTCCGCCGCGTTCGAGAAGAGCATGCACTCGTCGCGCTTGGACTTTTCCTCCTTGCACACGCAGCAGGGCTGTCCTGTTAGCTTGCGGGGGTTCTGCCGGTACGCGGGAGCCCCTCCGTCCATGTGGCGTCGGGTCATCCGGGGCGTCGGAGAGGAATAGGGGTGCGCACCTTGGGTTTCTCGGCCGCCGGCGCCGGCGTCGCGAGAGATGGGGATGCTGGTGTTGTCGTCAGTCCATTGGCTTTTCGGACACAGGGGTCGGGGCAGGACGAGGGGTACTCACAGATCGTGGCAGCAGGGGAGGCCATGTTGTCTTTTCTTGCAGTGGGTGCGATGGGATGCGAACGAGGGAAAGCGTTGTCAAGCCGGGCTCTGTCGCTGCTGAAATCGTATGTCGAGGAAGCTCAGTCCACTTTTTTTTGGGCCATTTCGGCGCCGTGGATTTGTCATTGTTCGTCTTTGAGCACAATTGCACGTCATCGCCTATTTGGTCGCTCGGTGGTTCGGTGAGTGACGAATCGGACGTAGCGGGTCACGTGCACTCGCGGGAGACTCGTGTCTCGTCGGCCACGGCTCGTCGACCATGGGCAACTCAGGGATGAGGATTGGGTGGTAGAATCCATGAACTCCTATTTGTTCTCGAGATAGGCTCCAGGAAGGTATTCCACTCGGGCACCAAATTATTTGCCCAAGCACACAAAACAAGCCCGATACAATCATCAATACATGTCATAATGTATACTAAAACCATGCCCAAGATATGCCGCCGACAAGACATGCATCATCGCCTGCTGTGCAACGCTAAAACCTTCCAATATGTCATACTCCCACGCGACGCTTTTCGTGTACCAAAGATATATACCCACATTGATTTGCCCACCACACGATAAGACCATCGCCTGAACGCACCGCCTCACTTCACACTTCACATGAGGACACACTTCTTGTCCGCCTTGTCACCTCGACCTGGCATGTTCCCTTGACTGGCAGCCGACACGTCCGTCCACGCCGCCGAGCTCGCAACATCAAAGTCGGGCTGCTTCTTCCTCTTCTTCTTCTTCTTCGACCCGCCCCAGCCGCGTCTCTTGGCGTCCTGCATGTTCTTCGCGGCGCTGCGCTCGGCGCGGCTCGGCTTGCGCGAGATCGACCCGTGCGACTGCCGTCCGTTCGATACCGTCGATGGCGCAGACAGCCAGGAGGGCATGAACCGCGACGACGAGGACCTCGGGTCTGTGATGCTCGCGCCAGTGTTCACTGGCGGCACGTAAGAGGGATCGAGCCGCTCTATCGCCGGCTGCACGTGCCGCGGTATCGGCGCCAAGATCGGCGTCTCGCCTCTGCCACGACCCGAGGTCCGCCGGTTGGGTGCGTCAAAGGCGCCCGTCACGCCGCCAGGCGTGCTGATGATGAGCGGCTGGTCCTCGACAGCCGGGCTTTGCGTGTGCGCTGTCGTCCGGATCGATGGGAATGGCCTTGATGCTGAGTCCTGCGACGTCGGACGCCCGCGACTGCCGACCGGCACGCGCCGAGGCGAAGCTGGACCAGCAGGGGCCGTGAGAGGATACCCGGCCGGGGTCGTTTGCACGGCGCTAGGCTCAGGAGCTCTGGGCCACGTCTGCGCATTAGACAGCCGCCTCGGCAACGGTTCGCCAGAAGGAGCTGGATGGCTCGTCTGCGGCCCCAGGCCTTCTGCAAGGTTCACCACGGGTATTTGGAGGTCTAGAACAGGAGGACCTTGGTTGTCCGAGGGATACGACAAGTTCCGCAGAGGAGCAGCTGGTGAATTCGCGGTCGACGGCCGGCGAGCGTGGGCATCCTGCTGTCTGCTCAAGCTCGTTCGGCGTGGAGCATGGTATGCGTCGCGCGCCGGCGGAGCGAGGTCCTGCTGAGCGCCACTGCTCCGGCGCGCTGCGATACGTGGCGAATCGGGTGGCGAGACATCGTAAATATTCTCGTCGTCGCCATCGTGGACCGACGGACTCGTCGTGGGTCGAGGCTGGCTGCTGGCGCGCGGCCGGCTCATGGTTGTGGAGTCGCTGTTCGTCCTGCGATGCATCACTGGATGCGCGCTATGCGGCGGTTCCTGATACCCACGCGTGTGGATTGGCGGCTGATTGACCATCTGCTGCGGGTTCGGCAGCGGCCAAGCCGACCCCACGGTCGGCGCCGCCGTCTGGATACGCGGCGGCTGAAGATCGCGTTGCCGCTGCTGGTTCGCCGGCGTCACAGCGGGTTGTCGCAGGAAGGCAGGAAGGTCGACAGGGTCGTCTTTTTGGTAAGGGGGTGGTGGCGGTACCCAATTGTCAGCATCGCTCTCGTGAGGGTGCTCCCTGCGACCATCGGCACGTCTGTAGGGGACCGAACCAGCGGCTGGTTCCTGCGGCTGTCGTCGCCGGTTGACCGCTGCTGCCGTGGCGGCACGGCGCAACGTTGTCGTAGAGCGGGGGTTGTCGTGTGAGTACGGAGCGTCGACGGCTTCCTGCGCCTCCATAATAGTCCTGTGCTCATTGTCTGCCGGTGCTGTAGGCGTTGCGGTAGTTTGTTGCACGGGCCGTGGCGGCGCACCTATGCGCCTCGGAAGGAGAGGGTCGTCGTCATCATCCTTGTTATTGTTGCCATCACTATCCTCTTGCGGCGGCAAGTCAGGCACCGGGGGTGGCCCTTCGGCCCCAGCGGTGGTAGCAGCACGCATAAGGCGATCCCCTCCTCGTCTCTGCGCGACAGTCCTGCGTCGAACGATGGCAACCTCAGCATCGATGTCGCGGCGCTCCTCCTCCAACACTTCTGGCTCAATAGTGCCAACCTCGATAGTAATCTCCTTCTTCGCACCGTCGGCGGTACCGTAAGCAAAGTCGAGCAGCGTGATTCGGCCACCGTCAACAAATTCAATGTCATCCTCTTCCGTTATGGACTTGCCGGGCTGGAGACCGCGGGCAGCGACGACGAGGCGCTCTCTGGAGGAGGATTCGCCAAAGCCAGCAACCCACTTGACTGTGCTTACACCTTCAAGTTCTGCGATCTTTGCGCCCCAGACAAAGGTGTTGCGAAGCCTGTCGCACAGCAGTTGCCACTGCGGCCTTGTGGTACTGTCCTGTGCCGTTCGTGACGAGGGCGTGCGGGAAGGTGGGTTGCTGTTCCGCCTGCCGGAAGCGCTCATCGTCGAGAGGCTGCTGTCAGTGACGGCGGGGCCGCCGTCCGGCACAGCGTCGAGGTCCTCGGGAATGCCGTACAGCCAGATGTCTTTGCCCTTGAAGCCAGCCGACACGAGGTCGCCATGGTATGTCGCTGCCGGCAGCGTGCAAGGCACAAGCTTGGCCTGCTCGCTCTCGCTTGGGCTGGGAATCGGCCCCGTGAAGTAGGAGGTTCCGTTCCGCAGGTCGTCGATGCGCACAGCGCGGAACGTCTCGAAGCTGCGGTCGTAGGCGAAACTCCAGGCGGCCTCCTCGCGGCTCGTATCTTGCAGCAGTACGGCGTGACTGCAGTCACGACTTGTGTTTGGAAACAGGATGGACGTGGTCCAGAGGGCGCTCATGTTATCGTCCATCATGCTGCCGGGGTCGTAATAGGGTGCTGTCAGTACGACGGTGTTCGGCAAGCCCGTGTGAATAGTTGTTCCCAGCAGCTGCGTGCCATCAAAGGAGAAGGCGAGACTATCAACGGCGTCGCACTTGACTGCGCGTCTCTCGGTGGGCATTGCGCCAGGTGCCAGAGAGGTCACCTCGATGCCGCCCTCGTAGGCAGCAGCCAGGACGGAGCCGCAAGGCGACATGGCAATGGTGCGAGGGGCATTGTCGAGGATGATGGACTGGGTGCGGCGTGGCGGAGACTTTGTGAGGTCGTAAATATCAACCTGCATCTCACTCGACAGGACGGCAAGCAGCGAGCCGTCATCCTTGATACAGGCAGAGGCGGGGCGGCGAAGAATCTTAAGCTCTCTCCGGACATGGATCTCGGCGGGCCGCACATCGAGAATATAGATGCGAGACGAGTTGTAGGCGAGTATATGGTGGCCGCGAGGGGAGGGGCTGAATTGCAAGCCTTCGCCGCCGGGACACGACGAGGAGGAGATGGAGTTGGAGATGAGCTTGATGGTCGTTTCGGCAGGCCGCAGGTAAGCCTCGAATAGGTTGCGCTTAACCTCTCTGGCGAAGAGAGTTCGTAAGCGCGGGAGATTATCGTCGGAGGCTTCGATATCGGGGGAGCCGCTGTGACTGGCGGCGTAGGAAGGACATTTGGAAAGGTGGTAGGCGTAGAGCTCGGCTTGCTGAGAGACACGGCGCCAGTTCGTGTTGAGAAGGACAAGAGAGGCGAAGGAGTCGGCATCGGCGTCTTGCAAGATCCTGTAGTTGTTTTTTGTCAGACGTGTTTCTGCATATGTTCCAACAAGGCCAAGAAAGATGGAGAGACGGAAAGACAGAGACAAGGAAGCGAGTTGCGCACTGTTGGATGATCTCGTCAGGGAGACGATCGACGGCGGGGGGTTCGACGGGCTGGGGTTTGTCTACTGACAACCTCAGCCCAGGTGTATCTTCCGAGGGCGAAGCCATGTCGATAAATCTCGATATCGAGGTTGACCGAGGCTTTGTTGGGTTCGCCGTCCGTCCGTCGCAGCAGGCAGTCGAGAAAGCTGTCACGCAGACATTGTTGACGGGGTATGGTGCGATGCTGAGCTAGCGGCGACGGTGGTGTGATGTTGTGTCGAGCGAGACCTGCAAATATGGCCAAATTCGTCGAGAGCTGCAATCGAGCTTCCTGGGAACGTGGCCGCTGAGATACTGGATCGTGGAGTCTGACTTTCAAGGTGTGATGCTATGGCAGGAGATCTGGAGATGAACACCAGAGCAAGCAGGAGGAAGAGCGGCGAAAGGCAGCGCAAGCAGCTGAGGCAGTGCAAGTGCAACCAGGTAGGGGGATGGGGGGAGGATACGCTGCCAATACCTGTCATCAGGTGCATGTTAGGCGTGGCGCCGAGGTATACCGAGAGTCTCCTGGAGCACCAACCCACGAATCAGGGTCCTTCCCTCGGCGGTTGACTGCACTTTCCCCCCTAATGGCCCCCCAATAGCCACCTGAGAGATCTGTTCGAGGTAGTGACGGGCGGCTGGCACCTGCTAGCACAGCGGTTCGCGCCTCCTCCAGCCTCACGACGCCAGTACCATGACTTCGCCCCTCCATTGTAGCATCCTCTTTCGTCGCCTATGGTCTCTCCTTCATTGCACACCCTTCACCTCCATTGATGAGCACCCTTGATGGTGGGTTTCTTGAGCTTTTCCCGCGTTGCCTTTTTCTTTTAAGGCCCCGGAAGAAGAAGCGAATCCGACAAAAAAAAGTAAAAAAGTTCAAAAGACAAAGCAGTCTCGGGGCACAGTTGACATTTCATTCGCGGGCCAAACACCTTCAGCCGCCCGCCCGCCAAACAGAAACATTCCGCCAGCACCACACGCCGTGTTTCTATTTTTGGCCGCAATCAGCACCAATGCTCATGTCTTGGCTGGGCCTCACGATTTCCGTCTGTCACAAAGCTCCAACGCATCCACGGGCCGCCACGTGATAAGTTATCCGCGCGTTCAAGAAGATGGCCTTGACAGATTCATAATGACGACCTCCGTCCGAGGTATCTTAATCGAAAAGGATTGTCAGCATCTTAGGTTTCGTTGTTCTGTGCTAAATCAGACATGACTATTTCTCAAGCAGCGTCCACCAGGAACAGGTGTGTTTCAACGCTGAGCGTTTCAGTCGACCCCGACCCCATCGTTCATGACGATCACCAGTGCACTGACGGTAACTCACCAGCTTTGGTCAGTTTTCCGCTGCTTCTGCATGTGCTGTTCTCATTTCTCGCGTCCATCAAATCATTCTGTAGTCGCAAACGTACCCTCCGTCTTGGCATTGGCCGAACTTCAACTCCACCTACCTAACTCACCTTCGCCATGTCCCAAGCTACCCTCAATCCACCATGAAAGTCACCAAAGCCCATCTGCGCAAATGTAGCTACTTCTTCATCCCCGGCGTCCTGTTTATCACGATTTCAATAATTCTGGGTCTCTGGTTCGGCAGACCTTCCACAACCAAGAACGATGTGAGTTCATCCGCCATATCATGCGCAAACGGACGTGATGAATTGACAGCACGCAGAACCCTTCTGGCCTTCCCGAGACGACGGTCGACCTTGGCTACGCTCAGTACGTTGGCAACACGCTGCCGGGAGGCACTCGACAGTATCTCGGCATCCGCTACGCTGTGCCGCCCACTGGCGACCGAAGATGGCGTGCACCCGAAGAACCACTCCCCAATCAGGAGCACCAGCAGGCCAAGACGGTATGAGCCGCGTGCATGTCTCCCATTTATGGAACTCGTTCTCACTCACCTGTCCAGTACGGCGCCATCTGCTATCCAATTGGCTTAGATTATCCCGCCGATGGCCATGATGAGGACTGCCTGTTTGCTAATATATGGGCGCCGAATGTTGGAAACTCATCCGCGAAGCTGCCGGTATGGGTCTTTATACAAGGTGGAGGTGAGCACGCTTCGGGACCCTGGTCACGAACCTCGGGTTGTAGGAGGTTTTGACGTTTGCAGGCTACTCGACTCTGGCCAGCTGGAACTGGAACGGCACGGATGCCGTCGAAAAAGCAGGTAGCAAATTCCTCTTCATCAACTTCAACTACAGGGTGGGCCTCTTCGGCTTCCTCGCTGGCGGTGATGTTGAAGCAGACGGCGATCTCAACGTTGGCATTCTCGACCAACGACGTCTGTTGCAATGGGTACAAACTCACATATCCAAAGTAAGGTGTCTCCCTTGGTCGATGTTGCTGTGTACAAACGTTTGACAATGAACAGTTCGGCGGTGACCCCAAGCATGTTATCATCCACGGCGTCTCGGCTGGCGCCGGTTCCGTCGCCATGCACCTAGCGGCATACGGCGGCCGCAACGACAACCTCTTCGTCGGTGCCATGGCTCAGTCGGCCTTCTTCCCGGCGCAGCCTCATGTCAGTGACCTCGAGTACCAGTTCGATCGCGTCCTCGATGACGTTGGCTGTCGCAGTGCTCAAGATAAGATGAAGTGCCTCCGCGGTACATCCATGGGAACCCTGCAACGTGCCAACGACATATCGCCCTTTCCCGGCAGAACCCATGCCCCACACTTCTACTGGACCCCTTGCGTTGACGGTGACCTTCTGGTCGACTACCCCTCGGTGCTGTTCAAGACCGGCAACTTTGTACAGGTGCCCGTCCTCTTCGGCGTCTGCAACGATGGTCAGTCATGCTTGCCTGAAGTTCGTTCCTGTTTTGTATCTTGTTAACGAGCAAACATAGAGGGCTCCGTCTTTGCCGACGAAGTCGAAACCTCGGTCGACCAGACATCCTACCTCCTTGACCAGTACCCGCACCTCAACGCTACGCACCAAGACACACTCGCATCCCTTTACCCCCGCCAGGCGCCCCTACCAAACCATGCCCCCTATTTCCCTTCACTTTCTCGGGCCTACGGCGAAGCGACCTTCTCCTGCCCCTCCGCCTCGCTCCTAACCGCCTACAGCGCATCATCGTCTCCGACCTGGGGCTATCGCTTCGCCGTGCCAGATGCAGACAACATGGCCGCCGGGCTCGGGATACCCCACGTCTTTGACGCCCCCGCCGTCCTCGGTCCGGGCATGCTCCCCACCGCCGCTTCGTACTACACCTACAACGCGCCCGTCGTGCCGCTCGTCATGACCTACTTTGCCTCGTTTGTCCGGGCGCTCGATCCTAACAGATATCGGGCCGAGGGAGCTCCAGCTTGGGAGACGTGGGGAGCGAACGGGTCAAGGGTCGTGTTTGAAGGCGAGGGGAGGATGAATGTCGAGAATGCTGCGGACAACGGCATGGGCGAGAGGTGCGCTTTCTGGGACAGGGTTGCCGAAACGATGGAGCAGTAGAGTTGGAAGGGCCTTTTGGGTGAAGGTGTTAGGAACAGCCTGGTATGCCAGGCTTGGAGCTGTTGATTTGTCGATTGGGACATATTGCATGATTGGAGCGAAGCGAATTTCTTTCGAGCATGTAGAGAGAGACTGGCATATCGTAATAGATCTGTTGGATTCCCACAGCCAAAATTGGCCCCATCTATTCACACTCGCTTTGCACTATGTCTGATCAGATATACCCAGACTGAAAGTTTGATTGTGTAGACAGTCTTGCGCCGGGTTTCCATCCTCGTGTTGAGGTGGCAACATAGAAGCCAAGCCCAAAGATTATGGTGTTCATCTGAAGTACCTGTCAAGACGCATTCATAGATCCTCGTCTGACGAGGACTTTGGTGAGTAAATCTCAAAGTCTTGACAATCTAAGGTGAACTGAACGAGAAACAAGTCGGTGGAGAGGCTCAAGCCGGAATTGCTGCCGATGGCGATTCCGACCCTGACCCCGAAGCGTCCGCCTCCCCAGGCAGTTCCTCCTCGGCATCCCTAAAGCTGTACCAGCTTCCGGTCTCTTCGTCATCGAGCTCCTCCCTCTCCAGCTCCACCATCATGGCCTCTCTCTCCCGCCACACCTCCTCAGCCCATTTCATCTCAGCTGCCGTTCTCCTGGTCGCCTCCCTCGCCTGCTCGGCCAGCCTGTCCTCCAACCTCGCCTTGACGCTGCAGAGCCCCTCCTCCTGAATGGTCCGCTCCTCGTCGACGCGGGCCTGATACGCCGCCATTTCACCGTCCCGCCACTGGCTCCAGGCGCGCCACCCCTTGTCCATCTGCCGCCGGAGTAGCGTCATCGCGTCGCCGACCATTTCCGCGCCCTCGACGCGCCCTTCGTAGAAAGCCTGCAGCTCGAGCATGTACTTGGCCTCGACGTCCCTCTCCTCCGCGACTCTCGAAGCGTAGTCCCGTTTGAACGATATCTCGCGCGCTTGGACCTTGTCGCGTGCCGTCTGGTCGTATTCTAGTCTCTCTCGGAGCTGCCTCTCCTTAAGAGCCTCCTCTTCAGCAGCACCATCGCCCTTGAGAACTTCAACCTCTCGATCGTGCTGCCAGCCTACAAGCACATCCTGCAGCTCCCTCAGATCCCCCATCTGGCGTCTCAGCTTCTCAAACCTGTCCTTGACTTCGCTCTGTCTGATGGCCTCCCGCTCGGCTCTCTGCTCGGCTTCCGCCCTCTCGGCCTCGGCCCGGAGCAGCTCCTGTTTGAGTCTCTCCTCCCTCTCAAACTCCTCCACCATTCGCACGGCTTCTTCTTCCTCTGCCTCCCTCAGGAGTCGCGCCTCGACCCGCGCCGCTGCCGCCGCGAGCTTCTCCGCCAGCGAATCCATGGTACATCCACACGTCTGCCACGGTAGCGCGCAGACGTAGCAGAACTCGTGCCCACAACGACACGTCATGTGCTGGCATGCCTCACGATGCTCGACGAGCGCATGGCACGCGCCGCAGTGCATCCAGCCGGCATCGGCAGCGAGGGCCTCGGTGAGGGCGGCGTCGCGGTCAGAGGGGCACGCCTCGGCGGTAGGGTGAGCGGGGCCGCGGCAGAGGGTGCAGGTTGGAGGATGGCTGCGGTGGGAGCAGCGCGCTGTGCGGGTGGCGTGGTTGACGCGCCTCGTGGGGATGAAGCGTGAGCAGGTGGGTCGGCTGCAGTAGATTCGATCTGGAGCCGGGAGAGCCCACTCCTCGGCGCGGCGACGGAACGTCTTCTGGAGGTCGGCCGGAATGTGGGCGAGAGTTGTCTCCTCGGGGATTGTGTTAAGGCAACACTTAGGGGGCCACTGCTGCTCGTTCTGGCATGCGGTTGTGATGAGGCGGTGGAAACACGGGGTGCAATAGCTGTGACAGGTAATCTTGACAAGAGCCGACTGAGGAAAGTCATCTAGGCAGGAGACGCATTCACTGAGTCCGTCAATATGGAAAAGCTGAGAAAGAGTGGAGGACTTACACTTCTTCCGGTGGCGTTGGCGGTAGCGGTGGCTCTTCGTATTTGATGGTGACCTCAGATGAGCTAGACGGCTCCTCATTCTTTGATGAGTCTCCGACTGGGGGAGTTTCACTGTCCCTATCGGCGAGACGCTTGAGCAGGCGGGCGAGCTTGAACTTGCGGCCCTTCTTTGGCTTGGTGTCAAAATCAAAAGGCATCCTGGATACAGGTGTGTCGTGGGAGAAAAGGTTCTCAAGGTCTTCTTTGTCTGCTTCGTCGAGGTGGGCCTGCACTTCAGAGATGGAGACGGGTTGAGGGTCATCCGAGAGTATGATGATGGGAAGATATGGTTCCTTGGCGGCTGCATCCTCTTCAGAGTCTGGGGTCGTTGGCTCACTCGACTTTTTCCGCTGCTCCTCTTCTTCCTCTCTTTTTCGATGCTCTGCGGCGTTGCGCGCTTGTATTCTGTCGATTGATGTCTTGATTATGTGAACGAGAACATCGTCATGAAAATTCGGCGTTGTGTGCAAAGCCGCAGGAGGGTTGTACCTGGTCCAGTCGACTTCTTCCTCTACCGTCACAGTTGGCTGTTCGTCGTCGACGGAAGGCCCCACGGCCTTGCCTTTTCCCTTCCACTGCGTTGGTGTAGAGTCTAGGCCGGCGACGAGACTGAGAGGGTCGCCATAGAATTTGATGTAATCAGCGGGAATGGTGAGGTCCGTGAAATCCTCCTCCATCTCCACCAGCGTCATGGTAACAGACATGGGGACTGTGCGAAGATGAGACCTCCCTTACAGTTAGTCCGATCAATGAGTCGCTAAACGAACCCTGGAATCAAAGCCATCATAAAAGCCATCACGCGACAGCAGCATCATCAGGAGATATACCACGATCATTATTGACGGCAACCGAGGTCGGTTCAGGCAGTCTCAAGACGTTCAAGACGCCTCGCCCGGAAATAGAAGGCGCTAGTCTGTCTTGTTGTTGAGCTGGAATCAAGCCTCTCAAGTCGATCGAGAAGCACCAATGAGCAAGGCGCAATCCGTCACGAGGGATGGCCGTCATGGTGTTGAGGCAATGAACCGAAGTGGCGGTACGTTGGTGTAGGACAGCGGTTGGGAGCCTAACTGGGTAAGCGCAAAGTGGGGTGAGGCAGGTCCCTACAGCGAGGGTCACAGCGAGGCAAGGCACACCCGCCAGGGAGCCTAGAGTGGAGGGGGAGGCAGGGAGGGTGCCTGGGGGGCGCAGGCTAGGCACCAGAGAGGGGGCTGAGCTGCACCTGCCAGATCCACTTTCCTCCTCTGCTGATGTCCTGGAGAGCTGTCCTACCTAGCATCGGCAGGTACCTGCCTCGTAGGGAGGGCAGGTAAGGCAAGATTGGGCAGGCAAGTTGCACCTGCATGGCTTTGCTCTTACTTCCACTTGCCGAAGCGTGTTACCAGCACTGGCAGTGCACTCACTATAGCCACGGTACCTAGTCAGCCATCGAGAAAGTTGCATTCAATCGTCTATCGTCAACACTCCGAGTCCTACCGAAGCGTTGCGCCCCATCGAAAGCAGCTCTAGAACTTAGCCTTTGTCTTGACCTGTCCAAATTCAACCTTATTCGTGCAGACACCGACATTTTCCAGCCCAACTTCAACTACATCGCCATCTTTCAGCCACGCCTGTGGCTTGCGGCCCATGCCAACACCCTCCGGACTGTTGCGATCAGCTTTGTCTTCTTCTTCTTCTTCTTCTCCTGCTGCACAGCGCAGGACGTGGGCGGCAGCAACTTACGTTCCCGTGAAAATGATATCACCCGGCACGAGCGTCGTCCCCTGACTCAGCAGCGAGATGGTCTTTCGAATGCCAAGGATCATATCCGCCGTTGTCTGATTCTGCACCGTCTGCCCGTTGACCTTGGTTGAGATGCGCAACCTCTGCGCGTCGCCAATGGCGGCGCCCGTCACAATGCCCGGGCCCCATGGCGCCCATCCGTCGTATCCCTTGCCGAGAGACCACTGACCGCCGCCGCGCTTGATCTGCCAGTCGCGGTGCGAAACGTCGTTGCCGACGGCGTAGCCGAGCACGTAGTCAAGGGCGTCTTCCTCGGAAACGTCGGTCGCCTGCTTGCCGATGACGATGACAAGCTCGCACTCGTAGTCGAGCGTGCTGCCGGTCTGGGCGATGGGCGGTATGGTGATGGGGTCCGAGGGACCGGTCAGGGCCGTGGCGGGTTTGTACTATGTCCGGGGTCAGGAGAGCATGTGGAAAGGGGCCGAAGGAAAGACGCACAAAGAGGATGGGGTACGTCGGAATAGCCATGTTGGACTCCTTGGCATGGTTGGCGTAGTTCAGGCCCAGACACCGCACCGTCCGGACGTGCTCCGGCGCGAGGGGCGCCAGTAGTAACCGGATGTCGGCCACCTTATCGGTGACATTGTGCTGTCCAAAGATGTCACCTGTCACGACCCGCGCCTGTTTGGCCTTGGAAATGTCCTTGGCACCAGCAGGCAAAATGGCATCGCCGTAGTACGTGATTCCGTCCTTGGCCAGGAAACGGACCAGTCGCTAGATGCTTCAGCGTCAGCCTGGCGGTGTCGTACTTCATGGTCCTGGATCCCCTAGAGGCGATGAAGCCTATGGATGGTGCTATGGCCCCACTTACAGAAAAGGCGGGCATGGCGGGCGTCGGAAGAATTTGTTGAGTAATCCGACAAGTTGATTTTCAGCCGGCAAATAAGGTTCAAGATGAATTGACCTCGAAATGATGAGAATGGGAAAAATTAGAAGAGACCACGAGTTGCGATCAGACGCAGATGCAGAGCAGTGTCATTGCGTGATGCTACCCCAGGACCGGCGCCCAAAGCGGTTTAGCTCGTCATGGAGCTCCCCCGAATGCCGATTGAGCTCCGTGGAGCGCCAGACGCGTTGTGGCTGACATCACCATTGAATTGAATCTTTCTGTGCCCAGGGATTTGCTGCCGTTAGGTAACACAGATATCCGACGACAAATTGGCCAGACACCACAACGTCCGCTCGTCGTCATCAACACACATCATCAATCAATCATCTATAAGCATGGCCGTGTCAAAGAGGGGCCTCTCAGGCCTCCAGCGCGAGGTTCTCTCGCTCTACCGGCAATGCCTGCGCGGCATCCGCAGCAAACCCGAGGTTGGACATGGCTCTCACTGATACTCTCTCTCTCTCTCATGAGCCTTCTGCGACTGACCGGCCCCCAGGACAAGAAGCAGCACTTTCAGTCTTTTGCCCGCGCCGAGTTCCAGAAGCACCTCGCCGTCGACAAGCGTGATTTCGCTGCCATTGAGTTCCTGCTGAGGAAGGGCCGTCGCCAGGTCGAAGTCTACTCGTCCCCCGGCATCAAGGACATTCGATAACGGGCAGTTGTGATCGTCTCGCTCTCGCTGCACCTTGTGCGACTTGTATCTCTGTATTATTGGATGCTCTTTCTTTGTTTCTCTCTTTTCGCTCCCCAGGACCGATGACTCTTGCCATGGTCTCGACTTTCACAGGCAGGACCTTTGAGGCACGCCAGACGCGCCTGCCTCTCTTCTCACCCCTACTTGCCAACCATGTCCTACCTTACCTGCCTAGCTATTTTTCCTGACCTTAGGGATCTCGGGTACCTAGGTAGGTAGGACCGTAGGTACCTTAGATAATAGACCTTCGCGTCTTCCCCAACCTCCCCCTCCACCCAATGCTGCCCTCCGAACCTCATTACTCTCGAAACTCCTGTCAGATCAACAATCTCACGCCGCTATCACCACCACCCACATTACTTCTTGGAGTATGGACCATGCTTAACTGCCATCTGTGCTTTGCTGGCAGCAGTTGTCTTTCCCCAGAGATACCCCAATCCGCAACAGGCCTTGCCCACCAGGCGGCCCGCGACGTCTTTCACCATCCTCTTAGCTCCTCCCTCGAAGACCTCCGCCGCCAGCAACGCCTCATCGTCCGCGCCAACAGACGGCGCCGCGTCCGTCTGCCCACCGGCCGCGTGTCGCCACCACTGCACGTATCTGTCTGCCGAAGGCTCGAGAACGTCCATCCTGCATCCATTGATGCCGCGTTAGCTGCGAAGAGAAGACGACAGGACATGCGCCTGCGCAGGTACCTGACGAACGAGGCGCGCCCGCAGAAGCCCATTGTCACGCCCCAGACGACTGAATCAGTAGTGAAGCCGACTGTTGACCTTGCGACGCACCCTCAAGAGCCGACAATGCACTTCTCAGGCCAGAAATCTCAGAATGCCCCACCAGTTCCTCCGCGCAACCCAGGTCGAACCTCTAGTCGGTTCCTCAAACCGAGGCCGATATCATCGGTCCGGAGGCCGATCCTGAGCCAGCGGCAACCAAAGTTGCGTCGGGACTCCGCGACGCAGACAGTCATATCGCAAGGAGGGCTTCCGAACGGCGCGCATCAAGCTGTATTCTTGGGCCATAGGTCCTCCAAAGCTCAGGGTCAAGCCTCGCCTGTCCATGTCAGGTCTTCTCGGGAGGTTGACCCTACATTGTGGGATGCCGTCCGTCGCAGCCTTTCTCAGCAAAGCCACATCTCGTCCCTCATATCGCCTCTTGAAGCCATATCTGTATCTTCAGGCCCATTGCCCCCATCGCGAACTTCCAGCCAACGCAAAGCTCTTGACCAGTTCACGCAGCAGCTCGAGACATTCGCTAAGCGCAGAGGCGTTGCGGGTAGGGTCCCTGTCTTCACACCTACACCACAATCAGCAATTTCATACCACACGGTATCTGCATTACTTCCATATCAGGCGGAGTTCCAAAGTGCCGGGTTGGCTGTGACATCTATACAACAGCAAGAGCGCTCTCCAGACCGAAAGAAAGCACCGCGAGCTCCCCTCGAGGCGCTCGTCTTTGGCGATCACAGACCCTCCAAGCCTCGGGAATCTCCCAATGTTCGCAGTGAGGATGAGATCGGCGCGTTTCATCTGGACGGGGTTTACAAAGAATTGCCGACACGCGCCAGCTCATCCAGCTCGTCTTACTCGAGTCACGACACGGAGATTATCTTTACGAATCCAAGCAAACCACAGGACCTCACATAGCTTGATCAGGTCCCGCCGTCCAAGGATAGATCAACAATCAAAATTTGTCACCTGCCATGCTTTCAAAACGAGCAGACATCAACTGCTGGTAGCACACCAATTCCTCAAAGGTCGCAAAAGACGCCCAGAAAAGCTCTGCGACAAGGTCAGCCTGAGAATACTGGCCATACGCAGCGGAAGCACCATCGCCATGATGTACGACATGTACGGCAATCAGATCTCACGTCACAAGACGGGACCGCACCCGTACCAAATTTCGCAAACCGGCCGGCAGTCGAGCTCCCTACGCAGTCCAATCATATTCAAAATGCCACTCCCACAAAACCGACGGGCCTGCGTCAAAGACACAATCGGCACTCCAGATCACCGCCTATAGACTACTCCGCGCTCAAAGGTCTACGAAAGCCTCCACAACTGCATGGACAGAGAAGTACGCTGCATCGACCGGCGGGACAAGCCGAGAAGGCTGCTACAACCGAACACAGACGATCCAAAGCGGAAATACCTACATCTACAAATGCCAGGGCATCTGCGGTTGGCCGGCCTGCGACAATCACTGAAGAGCCTACTCTCCCCGGAGTTACTTTAGATGGGATATCGAAAAATACCAAGGCTTCAACTGCTGGCCCAAGAGGAAGACCTGGTCAGTCGCTCAGGATCTCGGCTCGACAGCCGGAACGAAAAGCCCGCGAGAAACTTGAACTGGCCAAGAAGCATCATGACATGCAGCGAGCCCACCAGCGGCCATCCAGTATCTTCAGCGGTCGAGCGCCTCAGCCTAAAGAGCCCGCCCATCCCCCTCCGTCACCACCCGCGTCAACTATAGGCTCAACGAAAGCCAGCCTTGTCGCTAAATGTGCTAAAACCGGCATGTCCGTGCTGGAGATACCACCCATGTGGGCACATGGAGTCGATAATGCATCCTCACTGAAGACGGCGCTTTTAGATGCCTTGGAAACGCTACAGAAGGAGGGAGATGCAGTTGCGGCATCGCTCGCACCAGTACAGAAGGATGCCTCTCATGGTCAAGGAAAAGAAAACGCAGTCCTATCTCCCGCGGATCCGGAGACATCTCTCCCTCGGGGTAACTTGTCTCCTCAAGTTACATCTTTTGAAGGCACAGAAAAAAAGCCAGAACTGAGCACTGAAACTACCAGTGTTTCCGGCGCTGACGTGCTATCGGACACGAGAACACATTCAGAGGCGGGTGTTTCGCACCACGAGGCTACTGACACTCCGGCCGAGAGTACGGGCTCAGCGCAACCCGGGTTTGAAGGCGGGTTTGACGACCGGGACGTCCTCCGAGGCTTGTGTATTGCAACTTCTGCAGCATGCGACGATGACGTGGACACTTGGATACGGGAGAAGACTGGAGTTTGGATACGGCGGTTCTTGGCGGACCTCAGGGCGTTTGAGGTGCTCGGGGACGAGCCGGAGCCGGAGCCGGAACAGCCGGAACAGCGGGCTCGGCGACGGAGGGCAGAGCTACGTAAGCGCAAGGCGCAGGCACGTCGGTCGCAAATGGCACATCAGGGGTTGGTCTAGCGATGGCAGGGACCCTCCCAGCCTTGGAAGAAGCTTAACAGGGTCAGGCGAGGGATGGCGGACCGGGAGTGACCGCGTAGTAGTTGCATCGGCTAGCGTGGGAACACGACGGCAATGTTGATGATAGATCATTTCAGGACCATGCCTGTCAGTCTGAAGCAGCGCGGAGTGCAGCATGCGAGGTGATGAGATGCCACGTTCCACCCGTTGATCTTGGGTCCATCTTGAGCATCTAGTCAGGGGGTATTTACCACGAACTTGGGTGATGACCCTGCCATGGGACGGTCATCAGGCCCCATCCGGCCACAGCATGCGCGCTCCGCAGGTCCTGTAGATGACAAGGCACTACGTGCTACGTGAACGAGACAAGGGGGGGCAACCGCGCCGGCGAACCTGCGACTGTTTCGGCGCCGGTACGCCGGTCACGCGCTCCGGGTATCACCGCGTGCGCCAATGGCTGCGGACACTGTGCTCTCACCGGAGCGCCGAGAGGTGCGATTTGCCGAACGGCGTGGCAGACGCGGCAGACGCGCGGGAGGCGTGGCCTTTGCCGAGTCGGGCGCTGTCGCGGATGCCTGGCCGTTGAGCCGGCTGCGAGTCAGTCGGACGTCTGGGCAGAGAGGGTTGTCTGTACGTAGTGCGTGAGCTCTCGTCGAATCTGTTTAAGTTTCCACGTTGCGGCGCGGGGTCGGGCACGACGATGTCTGGCCGAAGCTTGATGGGAGAGAATCGGCAAAGACTGCAGGCCGACGACAGTGGCTACCTGGAGTGTAGTCCGCAGGCCATTGCCGAGTAGTGGAGCAGCGATCCCAGTCTCATCTACTCACGTTTATGAAGAATCAAGGCATCGAGGGAAGAAGGGCGAGCCTCCATGTCTCGCTCTCTCTAGCTGCAGAGTACCTCGCCTGCTCGCTCGGCTCTGAACGACGAAGGAAAGATCGGGGCCCCCGGTTTCGCTGCGGGACGGGAGAAAGCACGCCGAGGCTAAGGCATCGCAAACCTACGTTAGATCACAAGCAGGAGACGGCAGGACAAAGAAGAAACTCCACCGCGAAAATGTGACGACGAGACGAACGCCGCTTACCCGTCACTTTGTCTTGGCTACACTATACCGAGATGCCACAGGTCATCGCCCACCCCAAGCTGCCGCCCGTCCAGCTGACCCCATGGTCTTCTCTCCCATTGCCACGTCTCGTCTGCTGCGTAACCCTATACTTTCTCAAAGGAGGGGGGGGGGGGGTTGGTTAATGAATATGCGTCCGTGGACGATACAACCATGGCTCCGAAGAACGCCCACTTTCCAGCGTAGCGAATAGCCCAAGGCCGTCACCCGTAGCAAATAAAGTGCAGGGAGATCCCCCGCCCGGCCGCCAACCCACCATTCACTTTTCTCCCTCGCAAACCATGCTTAATGAACCCCCCATGTCCATACCCCCATGCCTCATCACCCCTGTCGCTGTGGCCCTCCGCAATCCTTCCCGTTCCCACTCTGTCTCGTCAGCGCTTACTCCGCACCTCCAGCGGCGCACCGCAGATCGGCAACCCCAATCAATCAAGGGGGGAGATGAGGGGGAGACAAGAGGCCTAGCCGACTGCGGTGACACACCAGCACTGTACACCCTGAGGGACGAGGACAGTGACAGCAAAAAAAAAAAATCACAGCAAGTCAAGAGAGCAGCACGTATCCGGAAGGATTCTGTATTCGTGGTATCAATAATAGCGAAAGTCCTAGGCAACCCCCTTTCCACCCCTCGATTGGAGGGGGGAAACCGGCCGTTGTTCTCATTAAATCCCGACTCGTGACGTAGTGACCAACGCATCGACCGGTGCAAGAGAGACGCATGCGCGACCTGGGCCGTGGCGGCCTAGACATGCAGCATGCGACGTCTTGCCCGGCGTGAAGAAAGTGAAAATAGAGCGAGCCTCAAGCAACAACCGTCCGTCGTAATTTTAGACCTTGGAGTGGTACTGGACCTGCTCGACGCCAGCGTCCTCGCGCTTCTCGGCCTCCAGGGCCGTGTCCTTCTCGACGTGGCCCATGTCAATGTCGGCGACCTGGGCGTCAGGGCCGTCAATGACCTTGACGAGCTCCTCGAGGGTGGGTCCGCGGGTCTCGACAAACATGTAGAAGACGAAGCACAGCTCGAAGAAGACCCAGATGACGTAGATGAGGTACAGGATCCACGTGTTGCCGCCGTAGCCAGTGCCCTCCTCGCCCTTCCAGTGGTCCATGGCCACGGGGTTGGCCTGGTTGTTGAGGCAGAGGGCGACCTGGATGGCAATGTTGAGGATCATGAGACCCTTGGCACGCAGCGAGTAGGGCAGAATCTCCACGGCGTAACCGATGAGGAGACCAGACCAGGCTGTCGCGTAGAAGAACGAGAAGACCCAGATGAAGACGATCATGGCAATGTTGGCGCCGGGCGCGCGGTGCTGCTCGTACAGGCCGCAAGTGAGGGTCCACACGCAGAGAGTGCCGAACATGCCACCGGTGGCCAGCAGGAAGATGGGACGACGGCCGACCCTGTCGACCATGAGGGCGAAGCTGATGGACACAATCATGGACATGCTCGTGTTGCCGGCGTTGAGACCCAGGCGGGACGTCTCGTCAGAGATACCAGCGTTTCCGTACAGGAGAGAGGTGTAGTTGGAGATGATGGCATTGCCGGACCACTGCGAGAAGATGCCGAGGGCGATGATGACGATGAGACGGTAGCGGTTGCCCTTGGTCTTGAAGAAGTCGACGTACTTGGTGCTCGTGTTGGCGGCCTGCTCGAGGCGGATCGTGTCGCGAATCTCGCGGAACTCAAACTGAACCGTGGGGTGCTGGTCGTTGCCGTTGGCGTGGTACTTGGCGAGAATGGCGAGAGCCTCGTCGTCGCGCTCCTTGGCAATGAGGAAACGAGGGGACTCGGGCACCCACCACAAGAAGAAGAGCTGGAACAGAGAGGGGGCACCCTGCAGGATGGCGGGGATACGCCACGACCAGTCGTTGTTGAGGTTGGCCGTGCCAAAGGTGGTCCAGGCAACGATGAGGGCACCCAGGTTCCACAGGCAGTTGTAAACGGTCGTGAGACGCGCGCGGTGCTGGGGGTGGGCAATCTCCGTCAGCAGCATGGGCGAGGCGATCTGGGAGAACGAGTTGCCGAAGCCGAGGAGAACACGGCCTCCGGCAAAGGTGCCGTAGTTCTGGCAAGCACCCTGCATGACGGCACCGACAATCATGATGATGAAGCCAATAACGATAGACAGCTTGCGGCCCCAGTTGTCGGTGATGATGGGAACCATGGGGATGGAGATGACGGAACCGATCTGGTACAGCGCGACGAGAAGGCCGAGGTCAGCGCCCTTTGGGTCGCCGAAGAAGTCCTTCCAGGACTGAAAGTTCTGGACACCGTTGAAGAACATGCTGTGGAACAACACCTATCAGCTGGCTGCTCATTGTTTTTGGCCCACAATCAAAGAGCAAGGAGAGAGCAGTCTTACCCATCGTAACCTGTGGCGGCAGACGAGATGGAAAGAATGACACAGTAGAAGTAGAGCTTCCGCAGGCCAGGGTCCTTGTGCCAGACGACGCGCTCAAACTTGGGCGCTTCCTCCTGGGCCACGGTCTGCTGGCCGTTGGGCTTCTCTTGCTTGAAGTAGGTGAGCTGCATGCTGGGCAACTGCTCCTGGTGTGCTGGAGAGACAACAAGACGTCTTTGATCGGCGATGCGGGGGGGGATACCTCTTCCGCGAGCAGGCTGAGCTAGGGGCCTCTTGCAAGCGTGGGCGAGGGGATGAGAAGAAGGGATGAGGATGAGGAGAGAGGAGTCAGTGTGAGGTTGAGGC